GTAATCGACAAGTCTTGAGCTCGAGTCTCCGGTGGTGCAACACCTGGGGTTGGGTATGGGTGGCTGATGACGGCTAATAAGCCAGAAATGACCATTATATTGTCTGTCAACAAAGCTATCTGCTTATAGTACTGGCCACTATGCGGCCGCTAACAGGGTTCAGAAGTGAGTCCGAAGACAGGATGGGATGATTGAGTCCCGTAATGTGCATCAGAGAACTGTCAGCTGTAGGCTAGCTGATACAGTAAAAGTGCTATCTCATGAAATGTTAATTAAAATTCTGAAACCTGTTTTAGATTAGAAGATCGTTACTTGGGTAGGTCTAAAGTATTAATGATCGTGCAGCCTACTCCCGATCTAAGTCATAAACGCCAAAATACTGGTTTTCAAACGAGAGTCTTGCTGATTGCCTGTAAAAATGATATCCCGTCAGAAGTGACAACTTAAGTAGTACGCGTTGTTTATTATTGATTTTCAATGTCCCTTTAAATTCAATTATATTTTGTAGAAGACACGCAGAAACACATTATTTCTTATAATCCTTTGGTACCAGCTTATATATTTTTTTTCAAATTTTATACATGAAAAGAGGGTGCCTTTCGGTTTCACAATTTTTGAAATTGTTGAATAACGTTAAGCCCGACCTGCTGTTACACTTGTATTTGAACTTTCCAAATTGCATGCTGTACATTAATTCTAAGGAGCATCGCACGCTGCTGTACACTATGAGGAAAACGTCACATAGTGCTCCTAGCATTTTGTAATGTATTTTGACCATGTTGTATACTTTGCTAATAACATTAATAAATGTACATAGTATGTATTATGAATGGACGTTCCGCGGTTTTAACACATCTCATAATTAGAAAATTTTTTTAAAACCGAGAAATCCTCCTTCTTGTAAAACTTACGAGTACTTAATTTGTTACCAACTGAGTACAAGAACGAATATTTCCGTACATGTTTTCCGAGAAATACATATGCATTTATTAAAGCACAGAGAATTGATGGGAAAATGTCATACTACCTGAGTGGTCATTTTTTACAGAGTGCAGTCGTTGCAGAAGGTCGGAAAGAAGCTTATTCGGAAGCTGGTATCCCTGATGCAACTGATTTATCTTGGGAGTATGCTGCACGATAATAGATGCTACGTTTTTTTCAGATGGAAAACAAATTTCAAAATTTAGTCGACATCTCACGACATAGCACGTTTTTATATTTGTGTATGAGCCCCTGGCCGATGTTAAATGACTCAACTTGAGATTTATTACCTGATCAAGACGGTGTTCAGCGGTATTGACAAGTCTCTGTGCGAATTCTAAATCATCTGAATCTGGCCGTGGTCTCACAGCTGCCCCCTCCCCCCTTTTTAGTGTAAATTGCCGCCTTCCAGCCGGCACGCCGTAGCCGCTATGACATCCCTAAACTCGAGCATTGTCTTCTGGAACGAGACGGAAATCGATCCACGTAGCATCCTCCTTATCTCCTCCGGTGCGGGTGGCGATCGTCTCCTCTTTTGGCATCCACTTGCCACCAGTCACCTCGGCAACAGCCAAAAGATCGGGGAACGGGAGCAGACCAGGCCAAAGACCAACAATGAAACCATGGGCGCCACACAGCGCTCGTAAGTCGGTTTCCTTTATACGCTGTGTTGTCTTACCCTGACCAGCCTTCTTTCGCCTTTGAGTACCGTGCGATTGTCCAAAGAAGGGGTGCTTTTGCGCATAGGCTCTTTCCTTCCTTTTAAGGTAGGTTAGCGGTATACATCGAAATCCAAGTCTACAAACAATGTGAGTGAGACAGCTCTTTCTAGAAGAGATAACTACCTTCGTTTCTGCTAAGCACGAACTCTTTCAAGACTTCTTTTTCCTTGATTTCTGTTTACAGGAAACAGGTCCCTGAAACTTCCCCCGCCTCGTCGCATCTACAGCCCCCGGCACATGTAAGCTTCTGTCCTGTCTACCTGTCTTGCTTGCTTGATCGAAAATGCTGTTTAATGCCCATTTTTGATGCTGTGCGTAGTAACGTCCGCTGATGATAAAATAAGGCGTGGTCGCGGTTGCTGGAAAAAGAGCTTTATCCGTCTGACATTTCGGGTTCATACTCGAACTCCCGCATGAGATAGGACATCAGGTACGGATAACTAATTTAAAAGAGGCTGCAGTATTTATAGAATAAAGTCGTAATGCTTTCACATACTCACGAAATTCAACGGATTCCCCCTCATTTGTGTATGTCTCACAATATTCTATGGTTATCTCTGATTAAAGTTTCTCGATAGAATCCAAAACGTCAGGAGAATAAATTTCTTGTTCCAGCGATCACATCTACTTCTAGACTCCGTCTTTACCGAGAATGGTTGCACTCGGTGTTGTAAATATAGCCAAAGCCGCCGCCTAATTACGCCGTGTGAGTCCCCAATGAAGAACACCACAAGAAGAACACAAAGCAGCAGTTTTTTTGCGCACTTATTACAACATATTTAAGATAAACAAACACGTGTACGGCCATGTTCATCGGACCAATCGGATACTCCCCTGGCGCGAGTAGCGACAAGATTGGCTTGTGACTCAACGGCTGGCTTGCCAGAATCTTAGCCTGGCCGGAACTTTAAGTTTTAAATTATTGATTGATTGATTAATTGCCAGTTGGCGTTCGCCGCGTGTAGGCGGATCGATAGCCTGCCGTGAGCGCGGCTCGCTGCCTGCTGGCAGTCGTAATGCTTCCACATACCCACGAAATTCAACGGATGCCCTCTAATTTTTGCATGCATCATATTCTACGGTTGCCTCTGATAAAGGGTTCTTGACAGAATCCGAATCGCCAGGCAAATAAACT